AGAGAGAAGAGAGAGAGAGAGAGAGGATCCAAGTCATTAAAAAAAAGCTGAAGTTAGCATTGACAAAAACACTAAAAGGGACCTGGCTTCATTGAAGTGCTGTCGCTGTATTGCCCTTTCTCTAGATATGATGAAACCCGACCTGAAGAACCTGCCATTATGGAATATCCTGTCAAAAGTGTGAGAAAGACGCTAGGGGTGTTGGGACTTCCTTTGGACCCATAAAATGATCATATAATTGTGGGGATCTTAATCAAGGGGTGGCGACCCCCTCTTGGGATCTCAATCTGGCAATCTTGGAGTCGGAGCCCACGCGATACTTGCTTCCCCCCATCACGGGATCTTGATCCCTACCTATAAGGATCTCGGTTCCTAGCTTAAAGGGATCTTGATCCCTTGACTGCAAAGGATTGTGATCCACTCCAAATTGTCTAGTTAATTGATGAATTTTATTATTTTATACTATTCCAAAGTGTATTATGATGGAATTATTTCATATATTTGCTTTTTTCGCTTCATTTTCATTTCAAATATGTAATTTATAATGCCCTTTGTGTTATTTCATACGTTTATTATTGTATCTCACTTAAAATATTCCCTAAAATATTTTCCTTGATTTTTAATTATCAATAATATTGCACATTGTAATACACAAAATGCCTTTTCTTACTTTCAAAAGTGCCTATTCAATTGATTTTTTTTTATTTTATATTATTTGAAAGTGTATGAAAAATAATGACATTTTTCATTGATTTATATATTCTCTTAATTTTCATTTAAAGACTTTTGTTTATAGTAGAAAATATTTTCTTGGATTTTGTGATGCCTATTATGTCTTTCATTTCTTAAATAATCAATTTAATGTCATTTCATGCATTTATTGTATTTCACTTCAAATCTTCCTAAAATATTTTCCTTGATTTTTAATTCTTAGGATTTTGTACATTATTTTTTTTAACACAAAATGCCTCTTTAATTTCATATAAATTCTTCTTATTTATATTAAAAAATCTAGGACATTATTTTTTTTACCACAAAATGCGTCTTTAATTCTGTATAAATTCTTATATTTATAGTAGAAAATCTATTTTTGCATTTCATGATTTTCTTATGTCTATCATTTGCTTATGTTTATAGACAAATGTGTATTTATATCTATAGACTCTAAGTGTACTTTATAGACTCTCTGGGTACTCTTTGTAAGTGTGCTCAATAGATTCTAAGTGTACTCTTTTTTTTTTGGATTTCATAATTGTTAGGGGACTTTCTGGCAATAAAGTTCTTATTAGAAACTAGTTCTGCATATTGATAATGCTAAAACATTGATTGTTACGTTCTTTTATTATTAAAATATCGCTTCTAAAAAAATAGGACATATTTGTAAGTATACACACACACATACGTTTATGATTTATCATTCAGGTAATTAAAATAATATATATAGCAATAACTGAGATTACTATATATATACAATAGGGCCATTTATCTTTGGTATAAGGTCACAATTAATCTTGACCATTAGATGTGAAATTAGATGAGATTTTCACGAACTTTGTGACACACCCAAAGCTATCAGAATTCACATTAGATGGTTGTTTGTTTCATATCGGATGGTTGTTAGTAATTGTGACCTCCTTTTATCAAACGTAAATGGCCTCGTTGCATACAATTTATTCCAATTTATATATAATTATACACATACACATATATATACATATACATTTATTGGGCGCTTACCCTAGCACTCCCATATACATGTAGTGCATATATAGGAGATTTCTCCATGAGTAGTGCTCCAAGGGTAGGGAACTTCAAGTCGATCCCAAGCTCTTGCTTCCGCAACTGCTTTGCCACACGCACTCCGCTCTCGCTCCCTCTGCCTCTCCCTCTCCCAATAGCCTTAAGTGAACATCATTTTGCTTTGAATCTCCTTCCATAATAAGGTTTTGACCCTAAGAGAGTTCAAACGTGATTGAGCCTTAGCCTAGGCCGAAGGCACCACAAAAATATGATAACATGTTTTCTTCTTCATCCCTGAAAATACGTCCAATGCCACAAGATCCGGAGTTACCTAGGGAACCACCATCAAAATTAAGTTTGTCGGAGCCATGGTCCGGGAAGACGATAAAGAGGATCAACGCTATTTGGTCGGTCTGTGAGTGATGATGTCTTGTAGTGGAATCGAGCCTCCACAACATGGAATCTTTTACATTTGTAATGAAGATAATTGACATGTTTCGCCTCTGTAATCCATTCTTTAGCCCATAATATGTGTGTGTGTGTGTGTGTGTGATCATATTTCTCTAAAAATTCTGAAATTTAAATTGGATTTCAGTATAGAGATCATCTAATCAACTAGTTGAGAAAGAGTCCCAATACCTACTATGGCAACCCGCTTTCGACACTTGTAGTTTGGATTTTAAACCTGTAAGGCACGAAAATAACACCATAACATACAAGTTGCTGCCATATTGCATTGTGGAACCTATTGATGAAGGAGAACAACTAAAGTTGGGCCATGTCCTACCCTAAATATTTTTCATTTCACTTAACTGGAGGCTTATAAGCTTTGTGCAATTGATCTTTGTCTCCAATGCCCCTCTCCTTGACCATATCCACCATTATCGATACATTTGCAGGTTGACCCTTTCTTTGTCTTTGGACCGCTTTTTTTTCTCTTAGTTTGGAGTGCATTTGACTTGTTGCGTGCCCAATCACATGTAAGTGAAAGGACCCAAACAAGGAAAGACAAGGACATTGCATTTTTATCAAACACTAGAGCTTCTTTCATTCATGACGACTGAAATATGAATCCTCATTTTGGGTTTTCATTTTGACTTTTCACTTGTGAAACATCCTCCATCATCATCATCATCATATCCTTTTCTCAATTAATTGGGGTCGGCCACACGAATCCTGGGCCGCTATTGTGCTCTATTAAAGGCCATACCCTTAGTGAAGCTCTAAGCCCCATATCTTTTCGGATTACTTTCAACCACATCCTTGACGGCCTGCCCCTTGCCTTTTTCAGTCCTTCCACTTGAACAAAGTTGCACCTCTTAACAGGTTCGGCGCAACACATGGTCCGCCCACCTAAGTCTATTCTCTCTCACCTTATCACCTATTGGTGCTGTACCTAAATTCTTCTGAATGAAGTCATTTTGAATTCTATCCCTTCTTGTCTTGCCACTCATTTATCTCAACATCCTCATCTCCACTACACTCATTCTATGGGCATATTGTTTTTTGTCCACTCAACATTCTGCCCTATAGTGCAAAGCTGGTCTCACAGCTGTTCTATAGAACTTACCCTTCAACTTCATTGGTATGCGGTGATCACGTAAAATTCCAGTTGCACATCTCTACTTCCCCACCCAGCTCTACGTCTGTGTGCGATGTCTTCCTCAATCTCTCCATTTTCTTAGATTATCGACCCAAGATATCGAAAGTGCGGTGTTTTTTGTACTTCTTGGCCATCAATTTTAACTACTTTTTTGTCTCCACTCCTATTATTACTAAATTTGCATTCCATATACTGTGTCTTAGTTCGGCTAATTTTAAAACCTTTGGTATTTAGAGCATCCCTCAAAAGTTCTAACTTTGTGTTGACGCCGTTTCGGGTCTCATCTATTAAAACTATGTCATCTGCTAACAACATGCACCACGGTACCTCATTCTATAGGTGTCTAATTAAGTCGTTCGTAACTAAGACAAAGAGGTACGGGCTCAATATTGACCCTTGATGTAGACCTATTGTCACTGAAAGCTCACTGGTCTCTCCTCTAGTTGTTCGTATACTAGTTAGCGCTCCATCGTACATATATCTCATCAAGTCGATAGAGTGCCTGGAGACTCCTTTTTTTTCTAACACCTTCCAAATCAAATCTCGAAGGTACGCTATAAT